TTATTACACCTACATTAATATACAGACCCAGATTATTACACCTACATTAATATACAGACCCAGATTATTACACCCACATTAATATACAGACCCAGATTATTACACCTACATTAATACACAGACCCAGATTATTACACCTACACACACATTATTACACCTACACACACATTAATACACAGACACACACTCAGGTGCATCCTGTTTCCATTGATCAACCTTGAGATGTTTCCACAACTTGATTGGAGTCCACCTGTGGTAAATTCAATTGATTGGACATGATTTGGAAAGGCACACACCTGTCTATATAAGGTCCTACAGTTGACAGAGCATGTCAGAGCAAAAACCAAGCCATGAGGACGAAGGAATTGTCCGTAGAGCTCAGAGACAGGATTGTGTCGAGGCACAGATCTGGGGAAGGGTACCAAAAAATGAGAAATCGGGGGAGAAGGGCCTTGGTCAGGAAGGTGACCAAGAACCCGATGGTCACTCTGACGGAGCTCCAGAGTTCCTCTGTGGAGATGGGAGAACCTTCCAGAAGGACAACCATCTCTGCAGCACTCCACCAATCAGGCCTTTATGGTAGAGTGGCCAGACGGAAGCCACTCCTCAGTAAAAGGCACATGACAGTCCGCTTGGAGTTTGCCAAAAGGCACCTAAAGGACTCTCAGATCATGAGAAACGAGATTCTCTGGTCTGATGAAACCAAGATTGAACTCTTTGGCCTGAATGCCAAGCGTCACGTCTGGAGGAAACCTGGCACCATCCCTATTGTGAAGCATGGTGGTGGCAGCATCATGCTGTGGGGATGTTTTTCAGCGGCAGGGACTGGGAGACTAGTCAGGATCGAGGCAAAGATGAACGGAGCAAAGTACAGAGAGATCCTTGATGAAAACCTGCTCCAGAGCGCTCAGGACCTCAGACTGGGGCGAAGGTTCACCTTCCAACAGGACAATGACCCTAAGCACACAGCCAAGACAACGCAGGAGTGGCTTCGGGACAAGTCTTTGAATGTCCTTGAGTGGCCCAGCCAGAGCCCGGACTTGAACCCAATCAAACATCTCTGGAGAGACCTGAAAATAGCTGAGCAGCGACGCTCCCCATCCAACCTGACAGAGCTTGAGAGGATGTGCAGAGAAGAATGGGACTCCAATCAAGTTGTAGAAACATCTCAAGGATGATCAATGGAAACAGGATGGCAAAGAGTCTGATTACTTATGTAAATAAGGTATTTCAGTTTTTTATTTTTAATACATTTGCCAACATTTCTTAAAACCTGTTTTTGTTATGTCATTATGGGGTATTGTGTGTAGATTGATGAGGGGAAAAAACAATTGAATCCATTTCAGAATAAGGCTGTAAAGTAACAACGTGTGTTAAACGTCAAGAGGTCTGAATACTTTACGTCAAGGGGTCTGAATACTTTACGTCAAGAGGTCTGAATACTTTACGTCAAGGTGTCTGAATACTTTACGTCAAGGGGTCTGAATACTTTACGTCAAGGGGTCTGAATAGTTTACGTCAAGGGGTCTGAATACTTTACGTCAAGGGGTCTGAATACTTTACGTCAAGGGGTCTGAATACTTTACGTCAAGGGGTCTGAATACTTTACGTCAAGGGGTCTGAATACTTTACGTCAAGGGGTCTGAATACTTTACGTCAAGGGGTCTGAATACTTTACGTCAAGAGGTCTGAATACTTTACGAAGGCACTGCATGTAGAGTGGAGTCTATGCGGTCAATTTAATTGTGTGCGTGTGGGTGCATGTGTGTGTGTGTGGGTGCGTGCGGGTGCGTGTGTGTATGTGTGTGTGTGTCTGTGTGTGTTCATGTGTGTCTGTGTGTGTGTGTCTGTGTGTGTCTGTGTGTGTGTTCACGTGCATGTGTGTAATTGCCTGCAGCAGCAGTAATGGAATGTGCTGAATGTTGTTCTGGAAGCTTCTGAAACTAAAACACTTAACAAGTCCAAGAGTTAAGCTGCAGAACTAGTTCCTCTGTTCTCAACAGAATACACACAGAGACACAGAGAGATATCAGACAAGACGGACAGACAGACAGACAGAGACACAGAGAGATATCAGACAAGACGGACAGACAGACAGACAGAGACACAGAGAGATATCAGACAAGACGGACAGACAGACACACAGAGACACAGAGAGATATCAGACAAGACGGACAGACAGACAGACAGAGACAAGACAGTCTGTCAGTCTACAACCAGATACACCCAGGGTGTGTGAAACAAGACAGTCTGTCAGTCTATAACCAGATACACCCAGGGTGTGTGAAACAAGACAGTCTGTCAGTCTATAACCAGATACACCCAGGGTGTGTGAAACAAGACAGTCTGTCAGTCTATAACCAGATACACCCAGGGTGTGTGAAACAAGACAGTCTGTCAGTCTACAACCAGATACACCCAGGGTGTGTGAAACAAGACAGTCTGTCAGTCTATAACCAGATACACCCAGGGTGTGTGAAACAAGACAGTCTGTCAGTCTATAACCAGATACACCCAGGGTGGGTGAAACAAGACAGTCTGTCAGTCTATAACCAGATACACCCAGGGTGTGTGAGACAAGACAGTCTGTCAGTCTATAACCAGACACACCCAGGGTGTGTGAAACAAGACAGTCTGTCAGTCTATAACCAGATACACCCAGGGTGTGTGAAACAAGACAGTCTGTCAGTCTATAACCAGATACACCCAGGGTGTGTGAAACAAGACAGTCTGTCAGTCTATAACCAGATACACCCAGGGTGTGTGAAACAAAGACAGTATGTCAGTCCTACAACCAGATACACCCAGGGTGGGTGAAACAAGACAGTCTGTCAGTCTACAACCAGATACACCCAGGGTGTGTGAAACAAGACAGTCTGTCAGTCTATAACCCAGATACACCCAGGGTGTGTGAAACAAGACAGTCTGTCAGTCTACAACCAGATACACCCAGGGTGTGTGAAACAAGACAGTCTGTCAGTCTATAACCAGATACACCCAGGGTGGGTGAAACAAGACAGTCTGTCAGTCTATAACCAGACACAGCCAGGGTGTGTGAAACAAGACAGTCTGTCAGTCTATAACCAGATACCCCCAGGTGGGTGAAACAAGAAGTCAGTCAGTCTATAACCAATACACCCAGGGTGGGTGAAACAAGACAGTCTGTCAGTCTATAACCAGATACACCCAGGGTGTGTGAAACAAGACAGTCTGTCAGTCTATAACCCAGATACACCCAGGGTGTGTGAAACAAGACCAGTCTGTCAGTCTATAACCAGATACACCCAGGGTGTGTGAAACAAGACAGTCTGTCAGTCTATAACCGTATACACCCAGGGTGTGTGAAACAAGACAGTCTGTCAGTCTCTAACCCGATACACCCAGGGTGGGTGGAAACAAGACAGTCAGTCAGTCAGTCTATAACCAGATACACCCAGGGTGTGTGAAACAAGACAGTCTGTCAGTCTATAACCAGATACACCCAGGGTGGGTGAAACAAGACAGTCTGTCAGTCTATAACCAGATACACCCAGGGTGGGTGAAACAAGACAGTCTGTCAGTCTATAACCAGATACACCCAGGGTGGGTGAAACAAGACAGTATGTCAGTCAGTCTATAACCAGATACACCCAGGGTGTGTGAAACAAGACAGTCTGTCAGTCTACAACCAGATACACCCAGGGTGGGTGAAACAAGACAGTCTGTCAGTCTATAACCAGATACACCCAGGGTGGGTGAAACAAGACAGTCAGTCAGTCTATAACCAGATCCACCCAGGGTGTGTGAAACAAGACAGTCTGTCAGTCTATAACCAGATACACCCAGGGTGGGTGAAACAAGACAGTCTGTCAGTCTATAACCAGATACACCCAGGGTGTGTGAAACAAGACAGTCTGTCAGTCTATAACCAGATCCACCCAGGGTGGGTGAAACAAGACAGTCAGTCAGTCTATAACCAGATCCACCCAGGGTGTGTGAAACAAGACAGTCTGTCAGTCTATAACCAGATACACCCAGGGTGTGTGAAACAAGACAGTCTGTCAGTCTATAACCAGACACAGCCAGGGTGGGTGAAACAAGACAGTCTGTCAGTCTACAACCAGATACACCCAGGGTGTGTGAAACAAGACAGTCTGTCAGTCTATAACCAGATCCACCCAGGGTGGGTGAAACAAGACAGTCAGTCAGTCAGTCTATAACCAGATCCACCCAGGGTGTGTGAAACAAGACAGTCTGTCAGTCTATAACCAGATACACCCAGGGTGTGTGAAACAAGACAGTCTGTCAGTCTATAACCAGACACAGCCAGGGTGGGTGAAACACAGAGTTGACTTGAGTCTGCCTGGAGGGCCAGTTCGGTAGGGTTGGCAGTTGTAGTTTATTAAAGGTAGACTCAGCGATATGATGGAGATGCAGAAAGTAAACAGAATAGTGGGTCAACTTCCGCAACAACTAAGAGCGTTGAAGGCTCAACTTCTAGGCTGTTTTGGTTCCCTGACTACCACACTGTGAACAGGGTGAAGCCAACCTGACTACCACACTGTGAACAGGGTGAAGCCAACCTGACTACCACACTGTGAACAGGGTGAAGCCAACCTGACTACCACACTGTGAACAGGGTGAAGCCAACCTGACTACCACACTGTGAACAGGGTGAAGCCAACCTGACTACCACACTGTGAACAGGGTGAAGCCAACCTGACTACCACACTGTGAACAGGGTGAAGCCAACCTGACTACCACACTGTGAACAGGGTGAAGCCAACCTGACTACCACACTGTGAACAGGGTGAAGCCAACCCGTGCACATGCGCAAGTACTGTGTGTGAACTGTGTGAGAGAGAAGTGTTGCATATCTCCGGTGCTGCTCACGGCAACATCATTTGGCCGAGTCAAACCTTTAAAGCCAGGCAAGCTCAAACAGGCACAGATGAAGTATCTGAAACCTAGGTGTGGCGCGCGCGCGCATGTGTGTGTGTGTGTGTGTGTGTGTGTGTTACCTTGAGGTGTCCCTGGTGCATGTTGGCTCTACAACACATGTCCAGGAAGCAGGAGACGGCAGCGGTGTCCACGATGATGTAGACAGGGACTCTTCTCTTATAGGCTGCATCTAACAGGTCCTTATAGATGTCAACGTCACTAAACTGATCCATCACTACGGCTATCACCTGGAGAATAGATACACACACCACACACACACATTATACACACACACACATTATACACACACATTATACACACACATTATACACACACACACATTATACACACACACACATTATACACACACACACACACACACATTACAGACACGTTGCTACATGAGTCCTTCACTATTATTCTACAATGTAAAAAATAAAGAAAAACCCTTGAATGAGTAGGTGTGTCCAAACTGTTGACTGGTACTGTATATATATATACACACTAGCTATAGCTAACGTTAGCTAGCTAGCTGGTACTGTATATATATATACACACTAGCTATAGCTAACGTTAGCTAGCTAGCTGGTACTGTATATATATACACACACACTAGCTATAGCTAACGTTAGCTAGCTAGCTGGTACTGTATATATATATACACACACTAGCTATAGCTAACGTTAGCTAGCTAGCTGGTACTGTATATATATACACACACACACTAGCTATAGCTAACGTTAGCTAGCTAGCTGGTACTGTATATATACACACACACACTAGCTATAGCTAACGTTAGCTAGCTAGCTGGTACTGTATATATATATACACACACACTAGCTATAGCTAACGTTAGCTAGCTAGCTGGTACTGTATATATATATACACACACACTAGCTATAGCTAACGTTAGCTAGCTAGTTAGCTAGCTCAACTTACACTTAGCTAGCTACAGGTAACTGGCTAAATTAAGGAATCACCAAGTATCTCCCGTAAGTGTTGGATTGGGTTGAGATCTGGTAACTTAGCTAGCTACTAGCTACAGGTAACTGGCTAAATAAAGGAGTATCTCCCGTAAGTGTTGGATTGGGTTGAGATCTGGTAACTTAGCTAGCTACTAGCTACAGGTAACTGGCTAAATAAAGGAGTATCTCCCGTAAGTGTTGGATTGGGTTGAGATCTGGTAACTTAGCTAGCTAGTAGCTACAGGTAACTGGCTAAATAAAGGAGTATCTCCCGTAAGTGTTGGATTGGGTTGAGATCTGGTAACTTAGCTAGCTAGTAGCTACAGGTAACTGGCTAAATAAAGGAGTATCTCCCGTAAGTGTTGGATTGGGTTGAGATCTGGTAACTTAGCTAGCTACTAGCTACAGGTAACTGGCTAAATAAAGGAGTATCTCCCGTAAGTGTTGGATTGGGTTGAGATCTGGTAACTTAGCTAGCTACTAGCTACAGGTAACTGGCTAAATAAAGGAGTATCTCCCGTAAGTGTTGGATTGGGGTTGAGATCTGGTAACTTAGCTAGCTACTAGCTACAGGTAACTGGCTAAATAAAGGAGTATCTCCCGTAAGTGTTGGATTGGGTTGAGATCTGGTAACTTAG